AAAAAAAAAAAAAAAAGATGCGCTACAGCCAACCGGGGGGGAACCGGCCCAGTCGACCGGCCGGTAGGACCGGTCCGGTTCCGGTTGGGGGAGGACCCCCCGGTCCTACCGGGTTTTCAGCACTGGCTTAATGATAACTTTAAGCATTTGAAAAGAATCTCAAATAGCATCATTGTAGGTAATCAGCTTAACCATCCCCTTCTTCATGGAAACATTTCATTTTTTGACTAGCGAAAAAATATGGGGAAAAAGAAACAATGACCATTGAGTTGAATTGACCGCAAACTCGTAAGTTCTACCTATATCATGGAGTATAGTATATTACACTATCTGCATGAGAAGACACCAACACTCGTGGGCATCTATCTAGGATACATGGAGGCGACAAAATTGTTGTGTAAGCCAATAGCACCCCATAAAGAGAAGAGGGGGGCAGCCCCGTAGGTTCCCACTATATACAGGCCGACACGTATGAGCTGGCAATAGCATTGTCATGGACCTGCTGGCTTCAGTGATGCAAGCTTCCGTTGTCTGTAGAAACTCAATAGACCACCACTTCACCCCTTGTCTGACACCACCCGTTGTTTGTTATATATTATATGCTGGCAAAAAAGAGTCAATAGCAATACTAACACATGCAGCCCCGGCCCTTGCGGCACTCCTGTATCCATGCGAGATTCGATTCGCTTTCATTTTCTTGATGTCATATTGGAAGTGCATAGAGATGATTATGGGCAGTGATCAGTGACGTTCTATCGCTTGGGATAGGAAGGTACTAAATAGCCCAAGTGGGTCCGGAGGCAGGTGAAGAACATGGTGTGGTGGGATGAACTCTCGCTGAACAGATCGATTACGTTGCCAGTTAGCAGCTCTGGCGCAACCTTGACAAGGGCGGCTTGGTCATGATCCAGTTTCCGAGTGGAGCACCATGTTCGAGAGGATCATATCGTACATAATTGCAGGCTCCAAAAATTTTATAACCCAGAGAAAGCATCTTGCAGCCAGTATTGGTCCGTGTGTACCATCTTCTTGAGCTTGCATATGCCGCAGCCTACTTTTGCAGTCCTCGCAGGCAGACCAGGTTCTGCTGGCACCGGTGACTTGGCGCGGGTTGGTAGCGGACCTGTGCAGACTATTCATCATTAGCCAGATTATGAGCACGATTGGGAGTTCATGATTGTCATAGATCATACTTCAGTATGGGGTGGCGCCAGGGGAGACATTGCTGCTACCCCCTTGCTTTGGGGATGTCGAGATTCAGAGTTGCATTCACTGTTGGAATCGCTGCATTGGGGGGCCTCGGGAATCGGAGCTTCAGACCAATGCACTTCATGT